TGTGTGTGTGTGCGTGTGCATGTGTGTGCGTCTGTGTGTGTGTGCGTGTGCGTGTGCGTGTGTGTGTGTGTGTGTGCGTGTGCGTGTGTGTGTGCGTGTGGCGTGTGTGTGCGGGATTGCCATTTGTGTGTGTGTGTGTGTGTGTGTGTGTGTGTGTGTGTGTGCACACGCGTGGTGGGTGCCGGGGGGTGGGGCGACCCCTCCCCCACCAATCAATTAATTAATTAATCAATCAATCAATCAATCAATCAATCAATCAACAACAAAAAAAAAAAAAGCAAAATCGAATCAATCAGCAATCGAGAATCGAGAGCTGAACCTCATCATTGCAAAGGCCGAGAAGATCATTCTCGAACTCCATGGATATGACACAGCGCACCTGGACTCTGAGGGGCAGGTCTCCGTTAATGAAAGAAGTGAGACATTCAGCAATGACTACATCAGCCGAATGTCGCTGTCACAAGTTGAGCTAGAATACCCCAGGAAGAAAGAAGCTGAACGAAGGAGCAACGCGCACACCAAGATCGCCCCTCTCAGTAGAGACGCGGGACACAAGTTCGCCAAGAACAACCCTTTTCTACCACTAGCTTCCAGTAAGTGGACAAAAAGGGTTGTGCAGCGTGTCCACAACCGCTTATGGAAGCTCGACACGTTCAACTATATGGCTTCAATCAGCGTAGAAGCATACGTAGCACTCGCCGGCCTCACCGACGCAGATATAGAGAATTGGTGAACGGCTGCTAGAAACGGTACCATCTACTTCCCTGCTACAAGAGGAGGATTGGATGCAGACTTCCCACCGATCGCCAATCACTGCTGCATCAGAAAGGCATCCCGAAGTTCCCAGCAGACCTGTCTGAGCTCAAGAAACTCTGGAACGCCGGAAGACCTTATCTGAAATGTGCATGTCTCGAATGTGAGAAAAACTTCACCTGGTTTGACCATATGATATGGTACGTCATCGGCAACTTAGACAAGATCGACCCACAGGCGCCTTATGACAAAATCAGAATGCTGGAGTTCCAAGCGCTCTTACACACAACATGGAGGAAGTCATTTGTGGCTCAGATCTCCTTCATCTTCATGCTGGAGTATATGATCAAGATTGTCCACCTGCTCACACACAATAGAGGGATCTCAGTGGAGGGGATACTCAACTTTGAAGACTTCAGGAATGTCCCTTCCGTACACAAGTTCACTGCCGCACTCCTGTCGGACGCTGAAGGCATTCTGGCGCAATCGGCCAACAGATGCAACCTTGCTAATCTAATATCAACCACCCATCGTGCTGCGGTAATTATAGAGTCACGAGGGAGGTTAGAAAACATCTCCTTTATGTCGAACAAGGCTCCTAAAAGAAAATGGTTTTCAGAGAGACCTAAATTGATATCCTTAATCTTATTCAATAGCATATCTGGACTCCTCAAATTCAAGTTGTTGTGCGTGGGCAGGCTCCATAATAGAATATTAACAGCCTTGGAAACAGTGCGGCCTCCACTTACAGCAGCCTCTGAGTAAGATGGACAAATGGGCCTCCACCTAGTAACATCCTTATGTTTTGGGATACAATATGCTTGCCCAAAGACACCATGCTTATTCCACTGCCCCACCGAGGTCAAATCATGTGCAGGATACTCACGTTCTGCGTTCGCAACAACCTACTCTTGACTCAAATTACAGACCTCAAATGAAGAATTGGCCAAAAATAACTTTTGCATCCCACAATGGTATATCGCAGGGCAACAAACCAAAGTGTCACCTGGGTTGTGGTCAATAGGGCAGCGCACCAGTCCATCCACCAACTGACGAAAGGGAGCTCCCACATCCTCACCAATGCACGGAACAGAACCGGAGGATTTGACCAGGCAGCCTTCGGCATCACTATTGGACAAAGCCTCCGGACAGACAACAGGAAGGAAGGATGAGAGGAAAAAGAGAGTAATAACTCCAAACGTAAATTATCAGCTTGCTGCACCACACTGGGTCTGACAATGTTACGAGAATTACGCAACCACGGAGGGAAGAAATCACCCAATTCGCCAACACGAAAACACACATGTCCATCCAAACGTGGAAAGGACGAAAAAAAGCCCACCTCACACACACAGATCGGATCTTCCTAGCGCGAGAACCTTCGAAAATTGTGAATAATGTCACCCACACTCTTGTTTTTACACCATACCACCCGCATCAACCGTACCAGCATACATCTCCGAGAAGTCGGCAGATCCAGAGAATTCACCACTCGTGCACACTACTGTCGAACCTTAGTTTTGCAAACTAAACTATCATACGTGATACAGATCACCAAATGCTTCCTTACCTGAATATCAAAACAGGATGAGAGATGTTGAGAAAGAATACAACGTAGCCAAAATTGTGTCCGTTTTTTCGCTGAAAGTTCGTACAGCGGTTTACGCCGCAATCAGGTGGTCGAACTCCCAAAGCTTGAACTCAACTTTACTCCTAGGGTTACTCAAAAGCTTAGCAAGTGGGACCTTTGAAGCGAGGGAGCGCCTAAGAAACTGCCGAATAGGGTCAAAGGTCAAAACCAGACCACCCCTCAGCCACTCTCGTGAATGACATAATTCCTTGGTGCCAGATCCACAACTAACTACGCTTGCTCTGAACAATCGCTTCAACACTTTCCCGTTATCAACCAACCTAAGTCCTCCGGAGCACCGTATAGAAACAGAACCCACTCGAGTCTCAACACATCTCTTCAACACACGAATCAGACTAGATGGTTTCCCATTCTCCGGATGAAGCACGCAAACCGATCCAAATCCCACGGTGGCAAGTTGGCTAATACAAACGTTAGTGACAACATCCACGTCCTGCCTCTTCTTACGTCGCAAACGTTTTCTCAACCGTGGCCAAGATCTACGTGCACGTCGTGGTTTATCTCTGGTATTCAACGCCGGATAAAGCAGCTTAATAAAAAACTTCTCGGTTATAGCGAGGTCATCGGGCCCGCGGGCACACAATGGAATAATAACATAACTGGAGACCCCACACCGACGCAACCATTGATATAACTTCTCATTACGTTTCCCTTTCTCAACCGCATTCGTATTACAACTTTTGTAGATGTGCTGTCTCCAACGACAGTGCAGTTCTCGACTTGTACTACCGACATAAACGTGCCGATACCATGGGGACACGAGTGCGTACACCAAAGGACCTCTACATGCATCACTCCCTCGTCTCCGATAAAAAGAATCATTGACAATAAAAAACTCCAATATCCTGCTACACCACGGAATCAGTCCAAAGAAGATAAGACAGCAAATGGCAAAACTCATAAGGAAGGGACACGGAGGATTTCTATATTCAACCTGTTTTTGGGATGCTGGACCCGGTTTTCAGCAGCTGACACTCCCCACCAATAGATGGAGTCTTTCCCCAGGTGCTACTAGTGTCTCCTCTTACCAGCAACTAGCACAAATGGGGTCTGTTTTCCTTAAAAAAAAAAAAAAAAACTCATAAGGAAATTCACCTCCTTCAACTCCTTGCATCTCAACCAGGCAACATCCTTCGAACGTAATCTTAAGCAAAAGAGTACTAAACCCCACAAGAGAGCCGCGTCGGGGGGTGACCCTAAGAGTCCGCCGAGTCACACCCCCCGCTTTTTTCAGAGTCATCCTCATCCTCGGTAACCTCGACGACAGAATCCGGCTTACCTAGATCTTTATTGATTTCGTCATCCGCAACGGCTTTGTAAGTTCGAGCTTGCGCAATTGCCTCCTTCGTCGAGTCCAGGGTGGTATACGACACACCTTCTTCCTCACAAATTCTAGTCACCGCATCTTTCTTTATAACACGAAGATCCCGCTGCGCAGCCTTCAAGACAGCTTCGCGGTGGCTGGTCAAAACAACAGGAGAGGCAACAACAACACCTTTCCCTTTAAGGGCAGAGGCTCCAGCGGCAGCATCCATCCGTCTCTTCGGGTTAGTACCTCCTTTCTTCTGACTGGTTTGAAGTTTGGCGATCTCATCCTTAAGCCTTTCAACCTCCTTCTCCGATTCCTTACGAGCGTTATCCTCACGAAGCCTTGTCTCCTTTAACAGTTCAACCTCCTGTCGGTTGTGGTCCACCACGCTCTTCAGGTGTTGGTCAACCCTCTCGGTGACACGCGGGGAGACCATCGGCGTCGTCCGCGGCCAGACATGCGCATCTATGCATGGTGTAGACCCGATAGCAATCGGCCCTCGCTTCTTCCCCGGACGAAGTGCTTCATTCCACCACACCTCAGCATTGGCTTCCGATGCCTCGCACTGCTTCTGCAGCGCAATGATAATCTCCTCCAGGGTCGGAAGGCGCTTCAGAATCTCTGTTGCAATCTTAATGGCATCTTAATCAGGCCGAAGTCGAGTAATTTCTTCAGAATCACTCAGCGGCTTAGTAACAGTCGCGGAGGTGCTGGCCCTATCCCGCAACTTATGAAGCTCTTCCACTCTCAATCGCAACAGCTGAAGTTCATCACATTCCGCAGTCTTCTTCTTCTCAACTACAGGTTTCTTCTGTCGGCAGAGCGTAACTTCGCCATCTCGTCCAGGTCGGCAGCCTTGTTGCCGTCCACAGCCTCCCGGACCACGTCCAATTCGGTCGCCAGCCCTTTTCGAACTGCGCCCGTTCCTGCAGTGCCATTTCGTGTGTTTTTTGCCTATTTGAACTCAAAACCTGCCGCGTCCGCCGTTGTTTCAAAAAGAAGAAAAACACTAGATAGGAGTTATCCACCACTGATAAGTTATAACACGTGCGGCTTGTACCACCCCTGTTAACAACCCAGGAGGATGTTCCGAAAAAAATAAAATAAAAAAAGGTACTCGTTTTTAAGCAAATTCTATTTTCGTACTAGTAGTAAATTAGTAATGATACTACCAAAGAACGAAATGATCGTGTTTTCGTCAGCATTTGCCACTCCAAGAATGATGAAACTAATTCCAGCAGGTGATACTCCCCACCAATAGATGGAGCCTCTCCGCAAGGTGCTAGTGGTGTCTGCTCTGATCAGCAGCACTAGCACTAGAGGAGTTGTTTTACTAAAAAAAAAAAATTAAAAAAAAATCATTTTGTTTAGTGCTTAGGGGCATTTTTAATATTGCGTTAATTTTGTGCAAATAAAGAAGAGACGTATATAGCTGTCGTATTTCATTGCAATCTCGTATTATAATAATCTTCTCTGTGCACTCAGTTGCTTGAGCAGATGACTAGAAGAGCAGTATGGGCGATGTGTTGCTCTCTTTTTTTTTCTTTTTTTTTTTAAGCCCAGGCTGTTCTATAGGTTGGGTTTCTAGACATATGAGGGGTGCCTTTGGCACTTTGCTATGTGGTATTCCTAATATGGAACCTTCCTTCCAACCTACCACTTTCGTAATTTCCCCCGGCGGTGCACCTCTACTCCCATGGTCCTACCTTACCCATTAAGGACCACCACCTTACAGTAAACTACAGACGGAGGTGACCTGACCGGACAGTGGCCGTAGATACCGGACTAAGTAGAGCCCTACTTATGCTATTTAGTCCTGATCGAAGCATAGTCGTCTGAACCTTGACGCATGGGTACTTCGGGCGCTAGGATTAGCCCCATCTCTATAGGTCCCATAGGTGCGTTATTCCGATATTCTATTGTGTGGGCAAAGTGTTGTTATGCCCAATCTATGATGTGCTAGTTGATCTGTGAAATGTAAAACTCCAGCTAGTGTAACATTATTATTTGAGTTATTCATGCCAGCAAGATGACAATGCGTTTGCTACAATTTGCCGTTGTCCTGAACTCTTAGTACAAGTTGTCATGTGACTTTGCGCTGGTGTGAACAGGGCACAAAAGTTGGAGTGGGAGTCTTCTGCGCACAAGAATTCGTGTACAAGGGAGAATAGCAAAGCAGTTTTATACAAGACATACAAACAAAGGTGCAGTGTCTGAAGCAGGTCAGGATGAACCAGGAGTTTGAAGTTTAGTCTCTTCAAGGGAAGTGGAACTTAGCATAATTTTCAGTTTTTGAAAGGCAAGCACAGTAGCCCTTCTGGCATGATCGTAGTAAGCAAGTGACGCCATTCTATCCATCCAATGAACTTGGCGAAACAGTTGAAAGACCAAGTACAGACATGGTTGGGATTCAGGAAGGAGAAGAGGACAGCAGGCTTAATATGCTGCTTGACTTTCATACCGCTTTCGATGGAAGTGTGTTTGAGAAGTATCATGTGTTTCCCATCCAACTGGCTACACTGAACCTAACAAGGGAGGCCTTCTTCATCTGTTACTTATCTGATTTTTTGTTGTTGCACCCCGGAATAGTCAATCTTGTACAAACGGAACGTGAGACGTCGATTCGAGAATTCGCACAGTTTAACTGGCGGGCAACGATGTCTGAGTGCCGTGAAGCTATGGACATAGCCAGTAACTTCATGGCCTCCGGTTTGGAAAATTTTGATGGTACTTATAGGCCCCCCTTTGATTTCTGCGTAAAGCTGGCAGAGTTTGCCCTCGCTCGCTCGGACCATTTTGTGTCGAGAACAATGGAGCGTTCAGGAACCGATGTTAAGCATGAGAGCGATAAGGCTCTAGTCCAGGAAATACTTGAGTTTTGGAGAAGCGGCCACATGACCGGCTTGAGAAATGAGGATCATCGCTTTTGGATCCTTAAAATGTTGCCTCATGTTATCGACTTCGATTTGGCAGGAGCCGACAACCGGCACGTCCCATTGCGAATGCTTATATGTTCTCCATGTCCTTGTCGTCATTCATCCTTGGGCTGGTTTGCGAAGGTCCTAGATCGTGAGACAGACGTCCTGATTGCAACAGCCGATGGATCGAGTGGGGACATAGTGACAAGACTACAGCTACTGGCACTGAGCACAGTAAGCAACCGCTACAGGCCATATGGGGATGTGCCTATAGTCCAGAGAACATCGGGGTGTTTCGCTAGCAATGTCGTCGACCAGGAATATGACTTGGTCTTATCTCGAGAGGAACTCTTGGACCACGACCATAGTCTGGGGAGCACCACGATGTCCTCAACGCCGTCAACAGTTAAATTTGACAATATAAAGAACGTGCACCGTCTCCGTCGAGCTTCCTTTGTAGGACAGCACGGTCACTCGATTTCTTATTCTAGTGGATCGGAGTTTGAGCGCCTTATTCCCATTGTTGCTTCACTGTCTTATCTCCATTCTTATTACCTCAACAAGCAACGATATCCAGACTTTGACTGTTTGGTAATGGAGTTTGGGATTCGCACATCATCACTAGAAAATTTGCAGCGAAGGGATTCTGAGCAGCGTCAAAACAATTGCCAGCGCTTTCATCGCATCTTCAGAGATACTTGCTGGGAGACATTGCCTGATGACTTGGTCATGAAGATATTGGGGTTTCTTTTGCAGCGCCCCCCTCTACACATCCTAAGACCTCTTCAACCTCCCCGTCAAATGACCTCCATTACACATATCTAGGCCTTTTGAACGCATTCATGGTCCGGTAAACATTCCATACAACTGACATGTAGGCTGACCCATAGGACATCACACAGAACTGACACGTTAACTGGTTGATGGCATGTTCCCTACTACCTAAAATGAAATGCCCCCCATTACACTTATCTGGAGCGTCTGAGCCTAGCCTTGAATGATTCATAGAATGGACACGTCACACGTGGACTGACACATAGGAAAAGCACATAGAACTGACACATGGCAGGTACTGGGATAAGACATTCCCCACAAATATCCCGGGTTGCTGGTTGGACGTAACGCGTCCTGACACTGCCTTGTGCGATCAGGATGGTTGGAGGGCACAGTGGCAACGGAGATGGTGGCTCTGTTGTGATAAGTCTATCCAGAGTGGAGTCTAGGGGTCGGAGGGTGGTATGGTGCCCGTGTGTAAATCCCCTCTCTTAATTGTTTGCCAGGCTGAGAGTCCTTTCCTAAACACAAACAATTGTTTTCTTTAATTCTTATGTAGTATTTATGTGGATCTTCTTAATTGATCTGAAGGTTTCTCAAAAGTTCAGCTGCAGCTTCTTCATGTCATTGAATATTTCTGATGTTCGCAGCCGAAGCAGGGTAATCGTCCGGGTAACTCTTTCTGTTTTTTTGTACATACGGGACGCAGGGCCTGTTTCCCAGCATGTGTGGCTCCTCCCGAACATATTGGAGCATTGTTGTCCGAAAAACGAAAAAGGGGAAACTGCTCTTTACTACTAGTCCTTAGTCACCTTTTTAATTTGAAATAGACAAGAAATTTAAAGACAAAGTGGTGCGTATGTCATTGTTTGAGTTTCAGAATTATGTGTAAGTTTAGCGGGGGGTTGAAACTGCAGCCCTTCTTTTTGAAGTGACACGAATGCAGATTTAGCAGCGGCTTTTTTTAATGTGCCCTGTTTCGAGAACTGCTCAAGTTCCCTATTAGAAACGTTGGGTGTGACCCAGGGGCCGTTGCGGCATTGCACCAAAGAAAAAAAAGGGGGAAAAACAAAGATCACCCTACATGTCTAAGGTGAGGTCCGCTCTGAAAAGATGTAGTTACGATTCTTACGAACCACATTCACAACACAGGAGGACAGTTGAGGATAGTCAGAGGTGCAATGTGTGAAGGTGGCTGCTGACAGGAGGAATGCGCTACTTGTGTATGTAGCCCATAGGCCATGTATAATTCGCAAGCTTTGTATATGCCTGAAGGCTGTGTGTGCTCTGAGAGCAAAATCAATGTGTCGTCATGTATGTATATCGAAGAGAGAACGGGGTAAGTTGGACAGGGAACCCCCAAAGGTCCGAACCAAGCTTGTGATAAGTCAGGATCCGCACTCGGTGATTTCCCGTACCTCTAAGGAAGATCCCACGAAGAACCCTGAAGTATGGATTTAGGGGAAAGCGGCTATGTATCACCCGCGGTCATGACCGCGGGCCATTTGACCGCACGCGGTCGGCATCCCGACCGCAGCAGGCGACCGCCCGCGGCCACGTGCGGTCAGAAAACCCCCAACAATTTTAAACCAAAGGATAATAGGCCAAAAAAGAAAAACCAAATATGGGGTTGTAGGTTTTTGAGCGCTCTACAACCGTATTTTTAGTTTTATTTTTTGACTTCTTTTGTGATAAAAAAAAAATAAAAAACAGAAATCCCTTAGGCAAAAGTTCTTCACTTTAGGGAGTAGCGGGTCTCACGTAACGCGTCCCGCTGAGACCTTTTTCTAGCGCGGGCCCGGCGCACTGTGGGCCCAACGCGGTTTTTTGTTCGCGGCCGTCTTTTTTTTTTTTAGTTTTGTGTTGAGAGGTTCGAGTCCGGCCGTTTTTCAGATTCTTTTTTTGCCTTTTCGTGCCTGGCTGTTTTTCGGATTCTTTTTTTGCCTTTTCGTGGCGGGCGATGATAGAAACGAGTCTGGCAGTGTACATTCCCATGTTCTAGCGGAAGATTCATTCGATTTTGAGGTTTTTTGTTCACGGCCGTTTTTTTTTTTTTTTTGTTTCGTGGTGAGAGGTTCGACTCTGGCAGTGTATATTTCCATGTTCTAGCAGTAGATTCATTCGATTTTGCTTATCCTTGCTTATCCTATCGATGGTCGTACCATGAGGCCAGCCGCGAGGTTGGAGACTGTTCTCTCTCTCTCTCTCTCTCTCTCTCTCTCTCTCTCTCTCTCTCTCTCTCTCTCTCTCTCTCTCTCACGCGCGCGCGCGCGTTCATTCCGATTTTGCTCATCCTACACACACACACACACGCAGACCGACATTACCACACCCACTCCCTCTCCTCCTTGTCCCGCTCCTCCTCTGCTGCTTGCTGCTATCTTGTCTTCCCTCCATCCTCCTCCTCCTCATCCTCCACTTCCTCCGCTCTATCCGCTTCCTCACCTCGTCCTCCTCATCGTCCTCTTCCTCCCTCTCCCGCTCCTCTTGCCATTCCCGCTCCTCTCTTCGCCTCCGTCTTCTCCTCATCGTCCTGGCCACTCCCGCTGCGCCTCCTCCCGCTACTCCTTGCTCCGGCCTATTCCTGCCTCCATCCTCCTCTTCTCCACTTTCCCCTCCTCTTCTCTACTTTCCCCTCCTCTTCTCCACTTTCCCCTCCTCTCTTATGCCTGATCATTATCATCGTTATCTTGATCGTAAATTTCCACCCCCTCTCCTCTCATTGTCCTTTTAAACCTCCTCCTCCTCTGCCCCCTTCCCCCTCCCCCCCGGCGCCCAGGTGGTCTTACAACGTCTCATCCATTTCACTCCATTTATGTTTCATCGACTGATTGAACTTCGCTTTTGGGAGAGACGGTAAACGTGAGAAAGTGGAGGAGGAGGGGGGGGGGAGAGGAGGAGGAGGAGGAGGAGGAGTGTAAAGTCGACGTTCAATTGCAGTGTGGGATCCCGGCATGAACCCTGTTAGCCTGGCCTTTTTTTTTTTTTCATCTTCCGTGAAACCCTGGCCTTTTTTTATTTCGCCCCTTCCGTGGAACCATGTTTGTTTTTCCGGATCTGGTGGTCCTCTCTCCAAATTTCCTCCAATTCTGATTTTAGAAATTCCCTCCCAATAGCCTTGCTACCGTTTTTTTTTGTTTTTTTTTTAATAGAAATTCCCTCCCAATAGCCTCGCTACCTTTTTTTTTTTTTTTTTTTCCTGTGGCCTTCATCTGCATCTTTGCTTGCTGCCCTCCTTGCCTGCCTCTCGTCGCGCCCCTCTCTTGTGCCGCAGCTTTGCTGCGGCGTGTCCACTTGTTCTTTTAGTAAGAAAAATAAAGGATTTTATTTGATTTTTATCTCAAATTTGGTAATGAATTTTGATATGACCCCAAGGCAAAAGTTGTTCAGTTTATTTGTTGGCATAACATATTTTTTTTTCATATTTTTCTGAATTCGTTTTTTTTTTTCTTTTTTTTTTTTCATGACCGCGGCCTCGCGGCCGAGACCGCAGTCCACGGTCGTGCCCGCGGCGACCGGGACCGTGGGGGATTCATAGGAAGCGGTGTTTCATTTTTCTTTTTCTTTTTTTGTTTTACCTCCGCCGGTGTTGGGAAAATAAGGAAAAGTGGACCTTTTCCCAAACTCCTAAAATGTCGGACGCCGGGCCCGACGATGCTTGCCATTGATAAATCTGATTGGCGGTCGTCGTATCGTTTTCGCCTCCGAAAAGGTCAGAGGCCCAACCGAGGCCTGCTATTTTCCTGCGCGGCAAAGGTCCTAGTGGCTTAAGGGGAGTGGGGGCAGAATAAAAAATGTAATTCGGGTCTGGCGTAGCGGGTTAGCGGCCACTCCAAGAAATTCAAGAAACAGTTGGGACTTAGTGGGAGTAGGAATTTTGAATTTTTGAGAGCGCGGCGGTTTTTGAATTTTTGCGCGCCGCGTAAACTTGTTCTCCCGCTCTGCATCCCCGCGCCATCTTCCCTTCTTAATGTGCATCTCCCTCCTCCATGTCTCTTCATCTTCCCTCTAAGCGAAGGCCGATCCCCTCCTTCTCCTTTCCCTGTGAATGATTGGTTGTCTAATTGGGATGGTCGTGGCAATGTGGTGGCCGCGGAAAGCACACCCCACTTGGACGACCACCCCAATCACGCGGATCATTTAATTGGCCTCCTTCAACCCTTCTGGAACGTCTGCCCTTCTTTTGTCTTGACCCTCTACACCCCGTGCTTCCTGCAGCCTCTCCGCCGCCTTCCGCACTATAAATTCCTGCAACCCCTTCATCTCACTCTCTTTGATTTCGGCTGCAAGCTGCACGAGCTATGCGCAAAGCCCGCAGCGCCGGAAAGGCTTGACGCGCCCCAGGGTGGGCGGAGTGACGGCAGGTAGCGGTAGACTTGGGGTAAGGTCGTCGGAGGGACTGAGCAGCAGTTGAGGATCAGACGCTGACAGCGGCAGGGCCTTGGGGCTATGGTTGCCGGTGGTTTTGACGGATTGGGAACTGGGCCCGGAGTGGTCCGAGCGGCCAGTTGAGAGAATTTTGTATTTTGAAGATGAATCTTTTCCCCATTGCTGCTTTGTCCTCGTGTGATGTGTGCATGACTCCAAAACTTGGGTAATCTGTTATGCATGCCTGGTATGAAAGTCTATGGATGTAGAATGTTTCATTGAAGGCTCTATGGGTATGCGTGTGTGTGTGCGCCTCTGGGCCTGATGAGCGATTCAAAGTATGGAGCATCGATTGCTTGCATGAGGGCATCAATGCATCAATCCTCCCCGCCTCCCTTTCTTTTTACTAATTGCCCGAGTGCATGTGATACGCCTCAACCTCCTTTTGTTGTCTCTCTATATTCGCCACGGGTGCCCGACACAGCGTTGAGGTTGATGATAGTACCGAGAAGAGATGATGAAAGAGAGTTGGTCCCGACCTTCTTCTACGACATTTGTTGATCTTTGCATGGAGTCAGGTTTCGTCTCGACGGACGGGCGGGCCGCGGCCCGAGCTCGGACCTTGTCTCAGACCGTCGCAGGACGCTTCCGCCCTTCTAGAATCACAGACGATGATGACATATACTCCGATGCGGGCGTGCGGAGCTTGCTGCGGTGCACGAAGCCAATCCAGCTTTATAACCCGACCCAGGCGTGCCACATAGGCGGGAGTGGGTTTGTGCTGATTGAGAGATTTGCTTCCCCACCTTTAATTTTGTCATACACAGACCTCACGGTGTTGCCCTGGTCCATTGTGCACGCCACCTGGCGGCCGAGGTTTAATTGTCACTGGTGTCGCGGCACTGTCGCCAGGAAGACTTGTGCTCGTGGTGACGGTTGGTCCTGGGGTACGAAGGGGCCACTCGATTCCCAAAACTCTCCCGCAACGCGGGCATGCTCCCCGCCCATTTTCGAACTTGCGTCCCATCGACTGCCCAACCCCGAGCGGGCCCGTGCTACGTCGTCCGCACGGACTCAACGAGTCGGATAACGAAGCATAAACCGGTCTCCGGGGTCCCCGCCCCCAAGGGCCGTGCGAACCACGCGCCTCAGGGAACAGAGCTCCCTTCCTCTCTCGTTTTGTTTTATTCCCTTTCCCATGGGGTGAACGACGGTCGGTCCGTAGGACGCCGTTGTTCGCCCAACGACAGCTCAAGCCCCATCCCGAGCACCTCGGCCTGAAGCAAGAGTCCCCCATTTCGACTGGGTGGCTCAACCCCCATGGCCAAAAATCCTCAGTCACGCCCCTAACTACGCAGATCGGCATCCAAAGTACGGAACGCCGCGCGGGGCGTGAGGTTGGTATCAGAGCTGATTTGTTTCGGTTCTGAGGTCCCCTTGGGACGACTATCCATTTTGTTAAGTTATGTTATTAATTTCGTAGATTTATTTTTATTTTTCCCTCTCTTTTCTTCTTTGCCTTGTTTTAATTACGGATAGGCTGGCGGCCCGACGCCGCCGGACCTCGAACATCAGTCACAACCAGCCAAAGGAGTGGGGTTGAAACCAACCCCGCATCATGGTGGAACCTGGACAGGGAGTGGATAATCATGCGGGGATGGCTGACAATTTGTTCTTCCTCCCTCGGAAGTTCCCATCTTCTCTAAAGACGAAACGGACCCCTGTACTTGGCTGGTGGCCCTGAAGGCTTAGGGTTGGACGGACCAGTTGCTTCGGGAACGGATTCCGGCGAGGTTAGCAGGAACTGCGTTTGAATGGTATGGACAAAATGTCTATACCAACTGACCCACCTTCCATAGAAAATTTCTCGAACGTTTTGATCATATCGCGTCGGGGCAGTGTTTACTCCTAATCAAGGAATATACTCAACAACCCCGGGAAACTCTGGGGTAGACTGGCAAGGTACGCGGAGCGCTTTACCTACTTGGCCAAACGATCGGGGGTTCATGAGAAAATTGTGCGAAGCGATTTCATTCGGGGATTATATGATTCCTGGCTACGGAAAAAGATCCGAAAGAAGTGCATCCAATTGAACATACCTTGACTAAGCTAATCTAGCATGCTATCAAGTATGGAAAAGAAAACTACGATGTGGGATTGGACTCGGAATCCGACGAAGTCGACCCATCGGGGGTCCGACGCTATAGCTATTCAACTACGGCTCGGCTATGTGACACCCGCGGCCTAGGCTGCGGGCATTTCGGCCGCTGCGTCCGAGATTCTCGGCCGCGGCCGCGGCCAATGAGGCCAAGTCCGCGGCCCGGTTTTTCAATATTTTTTTTCTCCCCCTAAAAATACGTAAAAAAATAAAATAAAAATATGGGGGTGTAGGGACTGAAAAACCCTACAGTCCTATTTTTTTTTTTTTTGGAATCCGACTTTGTTTAAGATTTTTAAAAAATCAAAAACTAAAATGAATTTAAACAAAATTAAAATATATATATATAAAGAAAAGCAAGAAATTTTTTTTGCAATTTTTTATCATGAGATATATGGTCCCTGAGTACACCTGTATTTTTTTTCGAATTGGATTTTTGTTTTTTGCAGGGAAATGAAATGTTTAAAGAAAATAAAGATGCAAAATTTCAAAACAAATAACAAAAAAAAAGGTTTGATTGATTGATTGATTGATTAATTGATTGATTGATTGATTGATTGATTGATTGATTGATCGATGTCGGGTCAGTCCCGATCAGATCAGATCTTCTCTTTAAAGTCTTCCGCTGTGCCACTTCGTGCCATCTTGTATGTATCGGAATGTACATTGCTTGTTGATGCCGCGCTGATCTTGCATGCACGCGCGCGCAAATGGGAGTGCGTGTTGATGCTGCGCTGGTCTTGTGTGTGTGTGTGTGTGTGTGTGGGTGTGTGT